ACCAACCCACGCATCAGAAGACGAGGAGACGACGACGTTTCGGTCCATCTTGGACCACTGATAACGGTTCAGGAGGGACCGAAACGTCGTCGTGTCTCCATCTTCTGCCTTGTGGTGTGTTCATCATTAATTAGTATATCGTCCAAAATAATATGTTCATTTGTTAAGTAGTTTTTAGGTGCCAAGACTCGTGTGCAAACTCCCTTTCCGCCTCCTGTACCAGCAAACTCTTTGCTAAATAAAACTAATTCCTAATAGTGTATTTATTTCGTCCCTGTATTCACCTAGTTGTGTTTTGCGGGGGTTGAGCTCTGCTCTTTCGACCCGCCTCTCAAATGTCAATCAACTGTTTACTAACTACTTTTTTTTCCCACACCACACACACACACCTCAAGAAGCAGCCCATGACAGCTGACTAACTCCCAGATACCTATTTACTGCTAGGTAACAGGGGCACTCAGGGTGAAAGAAACTTTGCCCATTTGTTTCTACCTGGTGCGGGAATCGAACCCGCGCCACAGAATTACGAGCCCTGCGCGCTATCCACCAGGCTACCAGGCCCCGTGTGTAGCGAGTATGGTGTGAAGGAGCCTCTCCCTTGATTTACGAGTCTTACCAGCTATTTAGAGGATATGACGGATCTTGGGCCCCCAATTAGGTATTCCGACAGAGTCGTCAATTTCCTCTCCGGCGTACAGTGTCTTAAGATCAGTCGACGTCCTTGTAGAGCGCTCGACGGTGTCCAGCCTGGAGTGCCACAGCAATCTCCACTCTAGTGCCTCCTCTCTGATAGGGCCCCCTACTCCACTCCCCAGGTGCCACTGTTCACCTCTGGGGAGCACCTCAGTTGAACTAGCAAGGTTGGTACTGAACCACATCCTCTCACCCGGCAGTGAGGTAACTGGACCACTCCCCTTAGTACCCTGGCTGGGGGGGGGGGGCGTGTCCGTGGTCATGGAACCTCAAGGTGTACCCTGGTCGAGGTGGCCGTCCGTGAGGTTATTCACAAGGGGCCAGATTCACGAAAGCACTTACGCAAGCCCTTACGAACGTGTACATCTTTCCTCAATCTTTGACGGCTTTGGTTACATTTATTTAACAGTTTACAAGCATGAAAACTTGCCAATCAACTGTTGTTATTGTTATAAACAGCCTCCTGGTGCTTCGGAGCTCATTAACTGTTTAATAATTGCAAACAAAGCCGCCAAAGATTGAGAAAAGATGTACACGTTCGTAAATGCTTGCGTAACTGCTTCGTGAATCTGGCCCCAGGTCGCCAACTTGACTCATCTTCCTCTGCGGTCAAGTAATGCTTTCAACACAGTGGGATGTCAACCCAGTTGCCTGTCCTCTTATAAATTACGTCTCAATTTGGCCGTTTGACCGTATGGCCAAAAATGGACGTAATTTGAAATGAAAAATAATTGAAAATCAATTTTGGATTTTTTTCTTCTTCCAAAACAGCAAATTAAGGGTCCTCTGGTAGGTTAGGAGGGCAGGAAGTTTTCTTAAGGTTTCAAAACGTCATGAAAACCGTTAAATGAAGTTAATTTCCTCTTCTAACCTAACCGAGTGAACCGGAGCACTCCAACGGAACAGTATCGTGAACCGATTTCATTTCAAATTACGTCCATTTTTGGCCATAGCGCTCATACGGGCGACAAGCGACGTTATTTTGAGAGGACGGGTTGAATGCTTTACCTACACGATATAAAACTACCCAAATCATATATTTACGTTTTTATTTCAATTCTTCAAGCGTACAGTCCGAGGCTGAGTTATGCTTCCTTAAATCAATTTAATTATAACTGCAAATAAATCCAAAAGCACTGCTTCATAATAAATGAATAAATTATAACCTATATCTCGTGAAGAAAACGAGAGTGGGAGGCAGGCGGCGGGAGACGCCGGACTTGCCGCCACCAACCACGTCGCCGCCGCCGCCGCCGCCGCCGCCGCCGCCGCCGCCGCCGCTGCTGCTGCCGCTGCTGCTGCTCCTGCGGCAGCAGCGGCGGCGGCGGCCGTCGAATTCTTGGCAATTTCGAGATATCTTCGAGCTACACTCCACGGCGACTTTTTCAATTAACGGGAAGTCCCTCGTTTCCGGTTCTAATACTATAGATCCGAGTGGCCATTTCTCTCTTTATGTGTTTCAGTTCTGGTCAGGAGGTCTGGAGACCACCCCGGAGCGGCGAGCCTCTATGATCAATGTTAAATTACTGTGTGATAGTTGCTATAATGATGATGATGTTTTCAAGTGTTATGATGTAACTTTGCGGAAGGTTAAATTCGCGACCGCTAAATTCCGCGTGAGGAATTTAGCAGCATTTAACCTCGTATAAGAAGCCAGATGAGATGATGTCATAAGCCTCGTTGTCCACGTGGGAGACCCGAGTCGCGCAGGCGAGACGAGTCTGGTGCCTCTACTCCACTTGGAAGGGATAGGAGAACATGAACCTGGGATGGGACGGAGGGATGGAGCGGTGCCCAACCACTTGCACCATCGGGGTATCGAACGCCGACCAGCAAGTAGTGCGACTGTCGCTCGACCGATCGCTCCAAGTGGTTAGTTGACGGTAGAAATTAACTTGTAAACATTGGAGTGCCGTCTTATACACAATAAAACAGACGAGTTTCATTTTTGTTTTGCGTTGACCTTAAGTAGGTTGTGTATTCCTTATTATAATTGGGTAATATTTTTTATACCCAAAGGAGGTTATCTTGGGTTGATTTCGGGGCTTTAGTGTCCCCGCGGCCCGGTCCTCGACCAGGCCTCCACCCCCAGGAAGCAGCCCGTGACAGCTGACTAACTCTCAGGTACCTATTTACTGCTAGGTAACAGGGGGAATAGGATGAAAGAAACTCTGCCCATCGTTTCTGTCCGGCGCCCGGGATCGAACCCAGGATCACGTGTCCAGCGTGCTGTCCGCTCGGCCGGCCGGCCCCTGGTGGGAAGGCCAAACTAGTTTCACCCACAACAAAATATCACTTAGTGTTTCCTTATAGAAAATATTTTACCAATTCATGGTATGACTTATCTTTTGAAATACAATCATTTATGCCGGAGTAACTTAGGTTCAGAAACCTTAGGTGTTATTTCATAGTAACTGAATGTCTGCTACACACAATCATCAAACACTTCAATGTTCATGTCCTGAGAGCTTACTGAAGTATTGGACATGTTCAGGCCTTCTTGATGGCTGGTCTGCAAGCACTTGTGGTGGCCTTAATAATCCTTCACAAGTTGACAGGCCTTACGTCCAACACCACCAGAGGATGATAAGCCTTAACCCCAAGACCAAGCCATGGTGACCGGCTGAGAACACCAACAGGAAGGCCAAAGCAACGACCGTCTTGGTTGTTGAAGAGCGTCTAACAAGGCGACGCCTCAACCCACTCACTTCCCAGTAAGACACACTTCAGGAAGGAGCCGTTTCTGGCACGGAAGTTATAGCGGAAGGTGTGCAGAGTGGTGGGTGTGGGTGGTGGGTGTGGGTGGTGGGGGGTAGGGCTGGAGTGTGGGTGTGGGCGGTGGGTGTGGGCGGCAGGAGCTAGGGCTGCCGTGCAGTTTCCAGCCCAGTAGCTTCTTGTGCCATGTGTCGTGTTCTTGGCAGGACCCCACCCAGACAATCCAAGTCACCAGGAATGCTCAGGCGGACGTCTCGCCGGCTGAAGATGCCAGCTACCTTATGTGACAACCAGTTTCCCCGTGGTACATAACAGCAAACATTCAGAGTTCGTAAGTTGGCTTTCACTATCAAGCAAAATACTTTCCTCGTCTTTGAGGGCTGACTAAGCTTATTGCGACGGAAACGAATGGAAAGTGGTGGATTTATAATGAGAATGCGAGGCATGTGGAAACTGCGGCCTCCCTTCATACAAATACTGCTGAGTCGTTCTTCCAGTAAGCAGAAGCAACTCCGTCTTGCAAGATATAAGTAGCTGCCGCGCTGGGATTTATGTGCGCCAGAGAAATATAGGAGCGGAAACGGGACAACTTGACAGGATGTTGAGAGGATTGCTGACTGCGGTGGTGGTGCTAGGTAAGTGGTGGGGACCCCACGACGACTGGCGGAGGGCGGTGGGGGCGCTGGGTAAGTGGTGGGGACCCCACGATGACTGGCGGAGGGCGGTAGGGGCGCTGGGTAAGTGGTGGGGACCCCCACGACGACTGGCGGAGGGTGGTAGGGGCGCTGGGTAAGTGGTGGGGACCCCCACGACGACTGGCGGAGGGTGGTAGGGGCGCTGGGTAAGTGGTGGGGACCCCCACGACGACTGGCGGAGGGCGGTAGGGGCGCTGGGTAAGTGGTGGGGACCCCACGACGACTGGCGGAGGGCGGTAGGGGCGCTGGGTAAGTGGTGGGGACCCCACGACGACTGGCGGAGGGCGGTAGGGGCGCTGGGTAAGTGGTGGGGACCCCCACGACGACTGGCGGAGGGCGGTAGGGGCGCTGGGTAAGGGGCGGACACATGAATGACTCAGGACTGGTCGTCACTCAGGCAACACAAATCAGAGCAGCAGTGGTACCTAAAGGACAAGGTAATTATCGTCTGGGGCTGCTGATGAGCTGGACCCAAGCTGCTGGCCCATTTAGTCCCAGCTTGGTGAAGGGTTCGCACCAAGCTGCTGGTCCCAGCGTCATAATACCCGAGGACGGTGATGGTGGGTGTGGGGCGGTCAGAGAGACCGTAACATGTCGAGGCAGAACCCGTTGTCCTGCCTCCAGCGGGTCAGAGGAGGTAGATTGACAGTAGACAGGTAGACAGTGGAGGTAGGGGGTGCAGGAAGGTAGACTAACCTGCCCTTGATCCGGTAGATCACCGCTGCTGCTCTGGACGCGCCGAATAGTGTTCGCTTGTCTGGGCTTTCCTCGAGCTTCACACTAACATTTACTTCCCTCAAAAAGCCTCATTAATCTGTATAAACCCACAAACTGTTGTTATGAAATAGTTACTTACAGCTGCATGTGTGTGTGTGTCTGAGTCAACACTGACGCCGAATGGGATTAATTGATACTATCTTCCCTCTTCCTGACGGTTGCTGCCTCGCCCCGTCCTCCCTGTCTCCCACAGCAGTGTTGGCAGGTCTCGCGGCCACCCAAGATATCAAGAAGCCGGAAGACTTGGAGGACCCTGAAATTTTGGCAGATCCGGAGAGCTTGGACAACCTGGAGGGTCAAGAGACTTATCAGTTCGTGGCGACCATTAGTGGTGGTGGTGGTGGTAGTGGCGGTGGTGGTGGCAGCGGAGGTGGTGGTGGGAGAGGGGGTACTAATCCGGGGGGTGGAAGAGCCGGTGGCCGGATGGCAAGTAACAGTGGCAGAGGATCAGGTGGATACGTCGCCGGTGGTGGGTTTGGCAACAAGTTGGGCAGTGGAGGATTTGTCAGCAGTGGTGGCAAGAAGAGTGGTGGTTTCATTAGTAGTGGAGGTGCAAGAGGATTTACCGGTGGGGGCGGTAGTAGTGGTGGTGGGGGAGGCAATGGTGGTGGTGGTGGTAGAGGAGGTGGCAGTGGCTTGATTAATGTTGATGGTACTGGAGGACTTAAGAGTGGTGTTGTAGGTAGTGGTGGGTATGTTAGTGGTAGTGGTGGAGCAAACAGTGGAAGCTTCGTTACTGGAAGCGATAGTGGAGGCAGCGGTGTGTTCACTAGTGGTGGAGGAGGCCCAGGCAGCGGAGACTATGTTAGCAGTGGTAGTAGAGGCAGTGGGAGCATCACTGGTAGTGGAGGCAGTGGCATTACTACTAGTGGTGGGAGTTACGGTAGCGGTGGCGGCTTCACCGGCAGTGGCGGGCGAGGCAGTGCCAGGGTAAACACTGACTTTACCAGCAGTGGCGGAGGCGGCTACACCGGAGGTGGTGGTGCGTCTGTAGGGCAGCGCAACAACCTGGGGGTGGTGTTCCCGAGCGGATACCTCGATGCCATCCCTGGGACTCCCGGACGGGACTACCTGCTCCTGTCTACCGTCCCGTCGACGGCCTTCGTCTGCGACTCTCTCCCGGGCTACTACGCCGACACCGACCCCGCCGCAGGATGCCAGGTGAGCTGCCTCCCCCGTAATACACTCTTACCAGGTTCGAATCCCCAGCAAGCTCGTGGAGTGGTACTAATACTGTGTATGCCAGTGGGATGGGCCCTCAAATTGTAAATTCGAATCCCGATCGGGTCATGGTTGCTATCATAATAACATAATGCCATATATATAATAACCTTTTAATAGCTCGCCAAATACTTCAAACATCACTCTCACTTGTAATTAGCACTTTGTGACATGAGAAACATTTAATGCTAAAATAATTTGTGCATATTCCTCAAGCTCTGACGTTGACAATGGCTCGTCTGGCAACAATTAAGACTAAATATCTTGGCGCCTGCCTCTTAATAATTACTCAGCAGGTGTGTACACTTGCAGGTGTTCCACATCTGTCAGCCAGATGGCCGCCTGGACTCGTTCCTCTGCCCCAACGGCACAGTCTTCAACCAGCAGTACTTCGTGTGTGACTGGTGGTTCAACTTCGACTGTTCCACCGCCAGGCAGTACTACGACCTCAACGCTGCCGTCGGCAAGCTCGACAACACCGTGTTCTTCTCCGGCAACAGCATCGACGGCGGTGGCAACACAAATGGCAACTATGGCGGCTCTTTCGGAGGTGGTGGCAACCTCCAGCTGTCTTCCAGCGCTTACGCATCTCCTGGAAAATGATTGTAACATCTGAAGGGGAGATCCAGCTGCCTTACAGAGATACGTTTCGCCTGGAAAATGGGATAACATCCGAGAGGGACAGTTTAGGCTGGTGACGGGCTTAAGGCCTATACCAACTTCTGATGGGTCATTAAGCCCACCGCAATTGCTTACTGACCAACAAGTAAGAACACATTTGTACTGAACGTAGTTCAGGACTGAAGTAAACTCAGTGTACAGTATACAGCGAGAAGCGGGGTATACCTATCTGTGTATACTTGTGGGGGAAGTAACTCGCTCCTCCATGATATTAAGAATCACTACTGCACTTGTTTCCGTAAGTCATTAGTGTGGCGTGGACGACGTAGGCCAGGACTCGAACATTGGTTCCCAAGTCTGTAACTGGAACCGTTCCATGGACTGGAACACTGCTTCCCAAGCCTGGAACTGTTCCAAGGACTGAAACACTGCTTCCCAAGCCTGGAACTGTTCCATGGACTGGAACACTGCTTCCCAAGCCTGGAACTGTTCCAAGGACTGGAACACTGCTTCCCAAGCCTGGAACTGGAACTGTTCCATGGACTGGAACACTGCTTCCCAAGCCTGGAACTAGGGGAACTGTTCCATGGACTGGAACACTTGCTTCCCAAGCCTGGAACTGTTCCATGGACTGGAACAATGGTTGCCCAATATCTGGTGTACCACTGTAGGCGGGACATTGCTGGTCTTTGTCACCTCTGGTCGTCCCTATAGGCTAATGCCTTTATTGAAATATTTTGTATCTCTATAATAAATGTATTTGATTACCGGTATAATGCCTTAAGTCATTTCAATCTTTATGCTTGGATAACGTATATATGCATAACTAGAAGGGCTCCCCGGCGCTGCCCGGGACAGTCTATCCTCGCCCCCCCACCATATTCCACCCCCCCCCTCTTCTTTCTCCCCCACATCCCCCCACGTCCGGCCTATCCACCTCACCCCCCCCCACTTGCCTCCCATCTACCCACCTTGCCCCTTCCCCTCTACCCTACCATCATTTCCCCTCTTCTCCCCTCCCTTTCTTCCCCATCTCCCCTCCACCTTCAAACACAATTTCCATTTACATGTATATATATACATTTATGTGAGTACCAGGTTGCACCCAGGTTCCCCTCCCCCCTCTTCACCACCATCTCTCCCTTCCCCTCCCCCGTCCCCTCACTTTGTGCCTCCAATCATACTCTAGCAAATTATATTATGAAGCACTGGAACAAATCTACGGGTCTCTCAAAATATGTATTATTACGAAGGACTAAAAAGAAACTCTATGGGAAACGCACCAAATATTTCTCACTTGACTCCATGAAAATCGCATAAGGGGGGGGTCTATGAATGTAAATATTTCTTAAAGTATTTCATTTGGGCTGATTCCGACTAGCCTATGTCCGTCCCGTACCCCAGGTCATTCCCCGTGCAAATGTTGGGTGCGGTGTCACCTAAGTGTCTGGTCTCCAACTATGGACAGACAGAAAACCACTCTCGCTGAATAAAGAGGGAAGCTATGGTCTCTCCTGAAAGCGGCATACGGAAGTATAGCGACTATCTTGAAGGCGACAAAGGTGGATATAGCAACTATCTTCAATGCGGCATAGATGGATATAGCAACTATCTTCAATGCGGCATAGATGGATATAGCAACTATCTTCAATGCGGCATAGATGGATATAGCAACTATCTTCAAGGCGGCATAGATGGATATAGCAACTATCTTCAAGGCGACATAGATGGATATAGCAACTATCTTCAATGCGGCATAGATGGATATAGCAACTATCTTCAAGGCGGCATAGATGGATATAGCAACTATCTTCAAGGCGGCATAGATGGATATAGCAACTATCTTGACGGCTACATAGGTGGATATAGCAACTATCTTGAAGGCGACAAAGGTGGATATAGCAACTATCTTGACGGCTACATAGGTAGATATAGCAACTATCTTGACGGCGACATAGGTGGATACACCAACTATCTTCAAGACGACATAGGTGGATACACCAACTATCTTCAAGACGACATAGGTGGATACACCAACTATCTTCAAGGCGACATAGGTGGATACACCAACTATCTTCAAGGCGACATAGGTGGATACACCAACTATCTTCAAGGCGACATAGGTGGATACACCAACTATCTTCAAGGCGACATAGGTGGATACACCAACTATCTTCAAGGCGACATAGGTGGATACAGCAACCACGCAACCGTTTACAAAGCAACATACCTAGCGACCCACTCGCGAAGAGAGTAACTAGTGATATATGGAGCGGTCAGGCCAATCAGAGGAGAGGAAAAACCTGGTGATATATCTACCTGTCCGGCCAAGGTAAGTGATAATATTTCACCAGCTGTCTGCCCCTCCACAGTACTGTATGTAGAGAAGAAACCCCAACCAGCTACAGCGGACGAGGACAACAACCAGCTGAATCAGCATTTATAACATTTTCCAGTGATGGTTCATCCTGAGTTCATCAGCTGGTCACCCTGGTGCCAATTAGCGGAGTCGTCCCCCCCCCCCCACTCCCACCCTACTCCCCCCCAGTCTCCCAAACGATCGTTAGAACCTCTTCGACCTTTCCCAGGTATGTCTTATGTCTTCTCCCAAGAGCCTGGCTTATAAAATCTAGTCTGGTTACCTGGTTGATACCTGGTTGATGGGGTTCTGGGAGTTCTACTCCCCAAGCCCGGCCCGAGGCCAGGCTTGACTTGTGAGAGTTTGGTTCACCAGGCTGTTGCTTGGAGCGGCCCGCAGGCCCACATACCCACCACAGCCCGGTTGGTCCGGCACTCCTTGGAGGAATAAATCTAGTTTCCTCTTGAAAATGTCCACGGTTGTTCCGGCAATATTTCTTATGCTTGCTGGGAGGACGTTGAACAACCGCGGACCTCTGATGTTTATACAGTGTACAGTCTACATCTAACAGGTTTATACACAGGTGTGTGTGATCAGTCTGAGGTCAGCACGACAGTCAGGTGGTTTTGTTTTGTTTTTGTTTTTAAAGATTTGCAGCTGTGGTGAGAGAGGGAGGGAACCTTACCTTGAGGTTACCTTGAGGTGCTTCCGGGGCTTAGCGTCCCCGCGGCCCGGTCGTCGACCAGGCCTCCTAAGGAAGAGCGAAGGGTTAAATTATTGGCATTGTCAACTGTGTGAAGAGGCTGGAGGCTGTGTACTGAGCGGCCATACTTGAAGCTCAGTACATTGTAAGCTCCTGAGCGTCGACCGTGATCCTTGCAGGGGCGGATAATAGTGTCAAATGAAAGGTTGGTGATAACCCATCAAGAAACAAGTCTGGTGGTTTGGGCTTGAAATTAGAAGAATAAATAGACTAGACAAAAAGGTAAGGAAGGTTATTATGGAAGATTTCCATAATGCAATATATGCCAGTTTTCATAGAGAAATATTCACCGTTGTACAACGCTCCTGATGTACAAGAGAATGAAAGTGAGCCGAGAGCTGCGACACTTGTACACCGTCACTCTTGTAATGGTTGAGGAACCTGTAAGGTTAACAACATATTGGGGGAGTTATGAGTGTCCCTTAAACACATATTCTGGTAACCTTAAACGTGGAGTGCTGGAACTGCACTCACCTAGTTGTACTCACCGAGTTGTGCTTGCGGGGGTTGAGCTCTGGCTCTTTGGTCCCGCCTCTCAACCGTCAATCAACTGGTGTACAGGTTCCTGAGCCTATTGGGCTCTATCATATCTACACTTGAAACTGTGTATGGAGTCAGCCTCCACCACATTACTTTGTGTGTGTGTGTGTGTGTGTGTGTGTGTGTGTGTGTGTGTGTGTGTGTGTGTGTGTGTGTGTGTGTGTGTGTGTGTGTGTGTGTGTGAATTACTTACCAGAAAATAATATCCTGTCATCATTAGATAAATGCATATGTCTTATCAGGTATGGAAATTTGCTGTGAAATGGAGAAATGTCCTTTAAAAAAATTGTCAATAAAATAAAAGCTGTCAAAATCGGTGGTGTTTTTTTTAGTCCTAATTTGCTTGCCATGAGTGTGCGAATTTCAGCAAATTTGCTGAAAGAGTTAAGAGCGTGGAGAGATGAGTGTCTCAGACGCAGTACTGAGGTCAAGATCTCCAGTGACGTTGGTGATCTATTGGTGGCACTGACCATGAACCCCAGGGGGGGGATGGGGGACTGGTAGAAATACGTGAAAGATATATGCAGGCGATGAGTCACAATAACGTGGCTAAAGTATGTTGACCAGACCACACACTAGAAGGTGAAGGGACGACGACGTTTCGGTCCGTCCTGGACCATTCTCAAGTCGACTTGAGAATGGTCCAGGACGGACCGAAAAGTCGTCGTCCCTTCACCTTCTAGTGTGTGGTCTGGTCAACATACTTTAGCCACGTTATTGTGACTCATCGCCTGCCTTGTCTAAGCTTGTATGACTGGGACCTACAAAATGCTGACCATAGTAACCTTTCATTGTTTAATAGAGGAAATATTCAAGACTCTTCGCACTCTCCTGCCGGCCGTGTTGTTCACAACTATACTTGAAGAAATAATTCTTAAACAAATGACATTTTAAAGGAACCACTCATCCAGAAAACTCAATTAACTCCTTGTTCTGGCACTCGCCTCTCACTGGTCATTCTAACTTCTCCAGAAATATCAAATTAAGGAGTGCTGTTCTTAAGGGTAGAGAAAGGGAGCCGGTCGGCCGAGCGGACAGCACGCTGGACTTGTGATCCTGTGGTCCCGGGTTCGATCCCGGGCGCCGGCGAGAAACAATGGGCAGAGTTTCTGTCACCCTATGCCCCTGTTACCTAGCAGTAAAATAGGTACCTGGGTGTTAGTCAGCTGTCACGGGCTGCTTCCTGGGGGTGGAGGCCTGGTCGAGGACCGGGCAGCGGGGACACTAAAGCCCCGAAATCATCTCAAGATAACCTCAAGATAAGGTCTACAGGATATTATCACACAATTAGTCAATAGAAATGGCAGGGAAGGGGGGGAATTAGGGGAAAGCACCAAGCCATCACGACTCTATAGGACTTGAAAGGAGTCAGCATAAGGATTTGGGATGGGACGGGGGGAAAGGAATGGTGCCCAACCACTTGGACGGTCGGGGGGATTGAACGCCGACCTGCATGAAGCGAGACCGTCGCTCTACCGTCTAGACCCAGTGGCAGAAGACAGGTAAACCCTCTCAGCTGGATATTTGG